TAGTAAAGCAGCTTTCTCCTCAAATACGTGTTTGTAGACGTTTTGTATCATAACTTTTCGGTAACGCTTAAAGCAATCCGTGGTCTCTTCTTTCTTGGAGACAAGCTTTGGCTTGACGTGCTTGGTTGAGGATCCATATCGTTTTTACGAAACAATATAGAAATAAAAAACACAACAATAACCACAAACACAACGTAATGAAAAACTTAACAAAAACTATAACTAAACAGCGTGAGCGCAGAAAAAACATTCGTGCTATCAGACCAGAGGTTAGAAGCCGAATGACAAACAAAATGGCGACCGACGCGCGCGGCGTCGATCGGTGTTGGCACTAGTCGCCTCGCCGCGCTCTGTATTACAGCCGTCAAAAAACTGATTGTAGTTACATACTACTAGTACCTAACTTATATCAGAAATCTTTTATACAATTTTAAAATAGTAATAATATTATTTTATAGTTTGAAATGATTAACTATTCACACTCACTCATTGTTCATTCATCTGATTGAACAAGAACTGAATGTATCACTATTACTTTAAATGTGGCAACATTATTTTACTAAGTGACATTAGCTACTGTCAGATAGCTTCGTCTAATTAAAAATTCGACTATAGGTGTAATATGAAACTCAACCTACAATAGCGCCATCTAGTGACATATTTGTAAAGCGGTGACCACTTTACATCTCAGAGTATTTCGTAGATACATGATTCCGTGTACAGTACAAAGATGGTGCTTTTATAAAAATAAATCATATTTGTATTCATCAACACATAAATAAAAGGGATGGTTCTAGACAGTCAACTGCTCTGGAACAAAAACCATGAATACAAACTAAATAAAGCAGCAATGCATAAATATGCTTGGCGTCAAATCGCCTCAAACATTGCCGCTACTGCTAACTTATGGAGCCTTAGTTTGGTGGGCGAGATCGGAAACCCTCTTTTGATCTCAAGACTCAACATCAACATACTTATACCTTTAGGCACACACCACACAGATTTATGTTTCAAAGCGAATGTTCCGGTCTAAACGAAACAGCTAGAGCCGTATAACGGTTATTCATGACTTCAGTACCTACCTATTAAATTCGTATCTGATAATGGCGATAGAAAAAAAGACTAACAACAAACTAATACTGGATGGAGGTTCACCATGCACTGGAGGCAACCCTTAAAGGCTTACCCTCTAGTAGATCTCTCGGCAATAATGTTGCCGACAAGCTTGCAAAGAGAGGATTCGGAATGTTCCAGTTGGCCCGTGCCCACACCTTCCCTTACCCTTCTCGAAGGTACGAGTACCGTTGGTCAGACAACGCGGATTGCAGACAGACAGTAAACCAAGTGGCAAAGCGACTTCTAAGCCTCAACAGAATCAATCTCAAAAAAACAATAAGGACATTTACGGACTACTGTCTAAATAAACATCTCTTTGTCCTCGGTGCTACGGACAGTTCCTTGTGCAGAGACTGTATGAGCGCAGAGGAATTATTCGCCCATGTTCTGTCCCGTCCAGGAAACTTCTGAGCTTCTGAGTAAGAGCTAGACTGGCTTAATCAGCCAGGACTTTATGTACAACGAACCAAATGTGCGTCTAAGTGCGGAAATTGAATCCATCCTACTAGGTACTACTACATATAAAGCGTTACTGATTAATAGCGTGAGGTAATAACATTCTATGCTTTATTGACTAATTTCTTTAAAAGTCTTCTTACAGAAATACATTGCTACAAGTGACAACAGCATTTATTTATTTATTTTCCTTATTTAATATATTTATCATGATTCATGTGCACTTTTTACCTTTATTAGTTATAAAGGATACATGAAAAACAAAAAGTTTAGTAGTAGTTTGTTTTTTGTTCCTGTGTAGTTTCTTTTCTTAATAACTATATTTAATATGTATTTAAAATGCAAAAATATCTAATATATTAGTATTATAATATGTACATCTTTTTTGAAGTTATACTTCTTTAGGCGCGTTATGAAAAATTTATGAGAGTGAAATTTTACAATGCGCGCGCACCTGTGACACAAAATTAGGAGTGTGATTATAGCGTGCGTGAGCGAGATAGGAATAAGACAATCTACAAGTAAAAAGAAATAGAATATGCGTGAAGTTCGTATGCCAAGAATTTTGAATGACCATAATGACTTTTGTCATTTACCTTTTAAACAAATAAAGGAGTTTTAATAATTTTTTCAAAGAAATTTAGCAATGCTTTTTGAATTATAATCAGAAGTGATTTAAATTGAATATTTAAACCAATACTAATTAATATTTGTGAAAAAACTGTGCTGATCAACCTTCCTAAGTGCTTCAATACAATTGAGGTTAACTATCCGTATGTATTATTATTATCGAGTAATGTTTTGATTAAAAAAATGACCACATTGTTTAATCAAAACATGTAATTTTTCTGATTTAATCTAGCAAATATGTATAAGGACAAGAGACAAAAAACAATTGATGAATCAGTGTAAGTGCACTAAATTGAATACAAAAAAAGAGTTGTCATCTTATCGCTGTGAAACATCAAAAACTGGAGGTGGAACAAAGCCAAACTATTTTTAATAATGCCAAAGAAGTATAACTTCTTACGCGCGTACATAAGTACACGCACCCTTTTTTTTTATCACAGTGGTTGTCAGGAAGAGAACGCTCGAAAGCGACAAGGCCGCCAGTTGCCCTCCTTTTCATTTCATTATGTTCAATTTTTATATTGTAATGCAACGAAGTGTTAATAAATAAAATACATATTTTACAGCTACGTGTGTAATGTTATACTTATTTTTATTACACTTATTATTTAATTACTGTTACTTTCATATGGACTTGATTTTTTAATGATGGGCTTACTACTTTACGTAAGCAAAATATTAATTTGATTTGAGTGTATGTATGTTGTTTTTATGTTTATCCAAATCTCCTGGAAAATAAGTTATATCGAGACAATATTGAATTTTAATCAGGTATATTCCAACTTTGGACAGTCCTAATTTCATGAAAATCACTTGAGTTTTCTTATATTTAAATATTATAATGTTAAAATTACAGACATTCTAAAATACTTTGAAATTTTTATAAAAAAAAACTTAAAATCGCGTCTGGCACATAGTTAGCAATGTGAAAAATGTCTGGCAATAAAAAAAGTATGTCAGGTAGACTTATTTAAAAAGGAAAAATCAAAAAATTACGCTTCTTAAAATGCAATGCTTCATCATATTGCAATACTTTTTCATTTTAATTCAAGACTTAACAATCGAATTAATGTCTGGCAAATTCATTTTTAGTTTTTCTTATATTTAAATAACATAATGTTAAAATTACAGACATTCTAAAATACTTTGAAATTTTTATAAAAAAAAACTTAAAATCGCGTCTGGCACATAGTTAGCAATGTGAAAAATGTCTGGCAATAAAAAAAGTATGTCAGGTAGACTTATTTAAAAAGGAAAAATCAAAAATTACCCTTCTTAAAATGCTTTTAAAATCCAGGATTATTACATGGACAGATAGGATGCGCACTAATGAACGCAACCGCTACCGCCAGCCAGATTGCCCAGACTCTAACCGAAAGTGCAAGAAGGAAGACATATCACAAAATCAGCTGACCTAAAATTCTTTCTTTTCAAACGTTGCTACCTCCCGTACTATAGTAGGTACTACCTGAGTACTAACTTTATGTTCATTTCATGAAACTTCAAGTGACAAGTCCTTTTGACAAGTGTTAAGTGTTTTATTAAAAGTACACTTTGTAAACAAGCAAATTACAAATTAGAGGATTATATTCAAGATAAGAATGATTGGAAACATGTTGGTCCTGCTCCATAGGACAATCATAGAGCCTGGACAAAATCAAATTGGTTGCTGATTTTTTGCTATTACATATTTTTGTTATTTTTTTAAATTTATAATTCTACAAAATGTAATTATTTTATTTCATCTCACACACTGCTTTATTGTGTTTTTTTAATATTATTTTTATTACTCTTTAATGTATAATATTCTACGGTTTCGATATTTGTAAATATGTGAGGAACATGTAGGTATAATAACTTTTTAGTATAGTAGTTTAATTCTAAGAGTACATTGTCTTCACATATAATTATTTAACTAATGTAAACAAAATATTGTAAACCTATTTTAAAAGAGTAAGTGTGGAGTTTCTTGCCCATTCTTCTCCACACGAAACTATCTTTTGGAAGGGGCAACTAGAATCTTTTTTATATTATATTTGACGTTCAAAGGTGCCATTTTAGGTGGTCTAATTGAAGTAAATGATTTGACTTTGAATAATATATATATGTTGTTTGATGATTTGCTATTTTAAAAGAGTAAATACCGAGAGTTTTTTTACGCCGGCTTTTTCTCTCGGCCTACTCCCTCTGTCTTCTTTGCCGATGAGTAGGGATGCCTACAAATTCAAATTTAATGACGTGGAATAAGTGATAACTGTATCTTATGTTCCATAATAAACATATTTTATTTTATATTATACTATTGTTTTAATTTTATAAATAGTAAATGTTAGGCAATTATTAATTTTAACCATTCACCAAGGCAATAGCCTATTATTCCTATACTATTCTACGTCTCTTAATGAATCATTATAAAAACAACAAAAAATCACCGATTCGTCAGTCAACGATTTATCAAATAAATTGATGGTTTGCATCAAACAATATCTTTTCATTCGAATAATCTCCAGCTTTTAGGGGTCTTTTGTGAAGTGAAAAGCTCTCATATAGCGTGTTATCGAATAAGGTGTGAATTTTCACAGGCGGTAGGCCCCACCCACTAAGATGGCGAGCACCCCTCCACCGTCCTAATAACCAGTAGCATTCGAGTATTTCACGACAGTACAACCTCCAACCTGTTTTGTTGTTTACGCGGTAACACCTATTTTGACAGGCAATTATCAGTTCGCGTCAAAACCGCGGCTCATAATGTCACTGTTACGTTTATTGCAAAGAGGTTTCGTACCAAAGATAAAACAATGAACATGTCAGAACGCATATCCAGTTCGTGTGATGGCGGTTATAAAAAAAATAAAAGTGTGTGCGAATCAGATAGTGATAGTGAAAATGAAATTGATGTGATTTGTGAAAATAGTGAATCTAGTGTTGATGGTCAATCCGACGGTTTTAGTCATCCAACTAGGGGAAATGTTTATGAAAAATTATTTAATAAAGACTACGTCTTATCTAGTCATGATTTGCATAAAAACTCTTTGCTTACACACAACAAAAGTAAAACCTTTTTAATAGATAATATTTTAGGTAATTTTAAAAATAAGCCAAATGATAGAGCTGAAAATAATCTAGAAGGTGGCGATGAACACAATGGTAATAGTTTATTATTTATTTCATTTTTCTTCGTTAACATAATGGGTTCTTGAAAGTAGAAGACAAAATGTAGAAATGTAGGAACGTAATTTAAAAATATGTACCTTAAGTTATTTTTTATTACCTACACAGTAATCCTTCTTTTTAAAAATATAGTCATCATATTAAATCGAATCAAAATAAATCTTATAAGTGAAACTGTCTGAGAAATATCCTCACTGAATAATATGGAGCAAATACTTTTGCGTTAAAAAATAAACGGAGAATTTTTTAATAATATACATACAACGCTCATATTTTTACTACATCCGATATTGTTTAGACTTTTGTGAAGCTCTACCTACCCCTTATCTATGCCTATATTGTTTTACCATAAATAGGCATTATTAGTAATTTGATTACCAACTAACTAACTAACATTGTTTCGCCGATAATAGAATCGATCGTACACTATTTTTTAAATAAATTAAGTCAGCAATTTATTTTCTTTATAACTTTAAAGTTTTGATTAACATTTCAGAATGAATATTATAAAACTCTTCGGATACATGGGTCATAAACAAATCTAGTATGAAAAAAATAAAAAAATAAAAAGTGGTTTTTTTTTGGTTTAAATCAGCATTTATTGAGAAAAAAGATAAAATAATCATGGTAAAAATATTATCAGAGATCGAAGCCTTAATTTGTACTAATAACTAGATATTTTAATTATTAACTGTCCACAGAATAGACAACAAAATCAACAGAAAAGATAAAATGTGTATTTTGGCTATGTAAAACTAAACTAAAAGTGATATATTTCTTAGAATCATTATAATCTGGTTGTATTATACTACTTCAAATTAAAAATGAGATAAAAAAATAAACCCTCTAGTTTAAAAAAATAATTATTTTATGTCCACAGAAGAGATTTCTTTTCGGTCGACTCTTAATTAAATATTACTATCAATCAAACTGAGCTCAGCTACAAATTAATTGAGGAAAAAAATGAGATCATAAAACAAAAGATGACGAAACTATACTCTAGCGTGTTATAAACGTCGTCGCTTATAGTATGCTAGAAGTAGGCTAGAATATAGGTTCGTCATCTTCGTTGTCAGAGAAGGGATTGAAAAATGGTATTTTAGCCTGCTGAGGTTGTAAAATCAAGTCGTCTTCATCGCTGCCGTCTGTGCGTAATGAATGAATACGTTGTAGAGGAAAAATTTCATCTGAATCATCAGAGTCTGATAGGAACCTCGATCTCTTATAGGGACGTGAAGGGGGATCCTAAGAAACTGTTTCTTCTTCCGGTGTAACCACATTTGACCTATAAGTAACTGTAGAAACATTGGCTGTGTCTACACTTCTCGGAGATATGTTTGCGTCAGCTAAACTCACGGGACTATGTGATCGCGTATCAGCGACTGGCACCTTTATCTGACTCATTTCAAAATGTGGACAAACTGCATCTGTAGCACAAAACAGACAACTAAGCCTCCTTACATGTAAAATATTTCGTTCGCTTCGATTCCAAGAAAGTTGGTGAATCTTAAATGTCCCTTTATAAGCATTCATGTTATTTTTGGCGACCATTTCTTGAATATCTTGCACATTTGGGTCTCCTATTCCGTAAATCTCTATACCTTTACAATTTTCTTTTAAACATAACATAAGAGAATCATAATCAGGGACGTCTTTACCCATTGCGACTGAATTGTCAGAATATAGTTTTGTTTCGGTACTGCGTTGTTGGGCCGTCACTTAATATGTGTAATTCTGTTAAGTTCGGACTAATTTCTTTGATTCTCTGTAAGATTGGTTTTAGGTGAGCACAGATCATCACAGGATCATGACGCAAATTTTCTGAGATAGAGCACATAGACATAGTTTGAAAACCATTATTAGGTGATTCAGCATTGCTATAGTAAACGCAAGTATGAAGGGACAATTGAGGCTTAGAACCACCAAAATGAGCGGACTGAACCTCAGCGCTGTATTTACAATGATAATTTTCTGAGAAATCTATATGCAATAGGCCTTCAGCAGAAGTTAATTGTTGTTTAACTGTTTGGATTGATCTTATTTGATGAATCATATTTGCTACATGTTGCATGAATAACGGTAAATTAGAATGTAATAACTTCACTAGAGAGTCTTTCATAGTTTTAACAGTTTCTTTCAAACATTTCTTGTATTTTTTGTGTTCGCCTTTGATAATAACATCTACATTTTTAGTGACCCATCTATCATAAGCAATGTAATCGTTTTCATTAAAATTATTAATCACAAGTTTCTTATTTCGGCAGCTCTGACACTCTCTCTCTAAAAATTTAGGATTCAGTGTATTATTACAGCACAGTACCTTAACAGCATCAGAAGCAGATCGGTAAGTGACAACTTTCGCCTTTTGAAGTGATCAAATTATTTGATCATTATTTTCATGCAAAGTACAAAGACACGTGTTTCTTGCTGATGTTTTCGGAAACAATACCCAAAAAGGTCGATATCTACGAAAGGTCTGATATGAAATCTTGATCCCTGTTTTGCTTTGGAATATCACATGTAAGTTTAAGAGTGTGTCATTCAGTAGACGAATTTGCCGTTTGCTTTTCTTCCGGGTTATTGTCTCATTTTTCCCTGATGTTAATCTACTGTATTCATCTTGTATTAAAAAATTATGCACATCTTTTCTGACGTTTGTTCTCAAGACTTTCTTTTTAAGACTAGCCACATTCGACGCTTTCTGCTTTCTTTCTTCTAGCCTCCGTATTCGCATTCTATATGTTTTTATTTGTTTTGCCATATGTAATGCCTTTTTCTTTAAAGTCTCATTTTCAGCTTTTTTTTCTCTTTTGTTCCGAGCAGCTACTGCACGTTCGACTTCAATTCGGGAGAATGATGAAGATGGACTCAATGGTGGAGTATTTTCTTGTATGAGAGCGCTGGTAGCTTTTCGCATCTTTAGTAATTGTCGTCGTTTCTTTGATTTTTCACGCCACATTTTTCTTATTTGTCGCTGTTTTCTGGGTGTATAATCATCGATAGTTTTGATTTCTCCTCTGTCCTTTTTCTTATGGTACCTTTCTCTATCTTTTTTGCGTATCTCTTCAACAGCAGCTTCAGTTAATTTTGCCCGTGCTCGGCGCATACTTAATTTTTTTTGTTCACGACGTCTTATCTTTTTTACTTCATCAGTCAGATGTTTAATTCTACTTGTTCTAGGCATCTTGATTTGCTGATACAATTACAATGAACCACATACACACCAGGCTAAGCATTAAACAAACATAATGGGTTAATGCAACATAATATTGGCAAAAAGAAATAAAAAAGTCACAGAATATGTTTTGAAAAAGCATGCTAAGTTTCAATAAGAGTCACTCTTGTGGACACAGACTTTTCTGTGGCAGAGACCACAGAAAAGACTACGTCCACAAGAGTGACTCTCCACAGAAAAGTTTGTCCACGGAAGGGTAAACCAATCAAAACAAGCGGTATAATACGTGACATTTATAGGTTAGCTCATAACGCACCTTGTTTTTGTAAATGGACGCCAGTCACAATAGCTATAAATAGATTTACGTATATTTCAATAAAACACTTACCGTACCATAGAAGTCACAGAAAAGTCGCAACCATCTTTGACATTAAAGTAAAACAATGACTAATAGGCGAGATTTGTATTTTTAATGACGGAGCGCTTGCATACACCGCATGGACTAAGCTATACTTGAACTGACAGATTGAATGTTGCCAGTTAAAATAAATATTCTAAGGTTGCGTTCCAATTATCGACTCTTCAAAATCAAATTTATTTGGACCACGGAAGGAGTGGCGGTACCGATAACAATTTGTTTATGTATCATAATTCGAAGGAATTTTGGTTTAATTATTATGTATAGTGGAAAACGATATTTTGATTATATGAATAATAGATAAAAAAGGCGATGTATTTCAAATTTTAAATTATTACATTTTAATTTTGATCATGAAGTTCGAAATCTAGGCTGGAAACGGTCCACGGAAAGGTACCAAAAGGCTGTTTTTATTTTAATATTTTTAAAAGTAATAATACGAATGTAAAAATTTCCATGCGCGTCAGTTATATGTACTAATATTAAATAATTGAAGGTAATAATATGGCTGGTTTACATTGTTTAAGTTAATTTTGAGACAACGCACACATTTTTTAAATGTTCTGTTTATGACCCACATAATCATTACAGTCAGTCAGTTTAAACACCATTTTAAAGAAATGTAATGAAATGTCACAGCTAAGAACAACATCAATAGAGGCGATTCAAATTATAACTTTTAAATTTGTTAGTCTTTTTACCTATGTAATAAATTTGAGATGGGTAACGATTCATGCTAAAAAACAATCGATTAATTTACCGAGAATGTCACATCTCTCATAACCAATAGAAAAGAAGAAAATGGCGGATTGTTTACAAATTTCAATACATTTCACAATACAATTTTTTTTTTAAACTTTTAGACGCATTTCCGGCAGCAAAAATCACTTGGAGGTGTTCTAATCAAGGTGCCCCGAGACTCCTGCATAATCACCTATTCTTAACTACGTTTTGTTTTTAGTATCATCAACGTCAACGTGTGCAGAACTAGGTGTGCTGAACGGAGCAGAAATTCTAGCTGGCCATGCCTACGCCCACTGGCTGGCGACAAGGCAGACATCATCAAACTTCTATGGTATGTAGATTTTTACGCTTTAAAAAAGTAAAACGAATAAGTAAGCAGGTCAGACGGGGTATTAATTTAACTTATCGTTTTATTGGTGAAATGTTTACTTGTTAAATTAAACTAAACACTTTATAAATTGGTTCTGTTTTTGTTTCAAATGTGTATCTAGCCTGTGAAAAAACTAAGTCACTAAGTATAACGACCTTCTGTTAAAAACAGATCAACGATGTAACAATCACAGATAATATTACCTACCAATCTAACGATACTATAATTCCGTTTGGTTAACAATCATTAATTTTAATAATAATTGCATAAGCATTAAGCTACAGGTCTTATATTTTGATATAAAAAAATAAAAAATAAATCAGTGGCGCTACAACCTTTTTACGTCTGGGCCTCACATTTTTGTACCTACTTCATGATCATTTGTCAATATAATAGGCAAGTAGGTGATCTGCCTGAGTCCTGACACCCGCCGTCGACTTTTTGGTCTAAAGCATGCCGGTGTCCTCACGATGTTCTTCTTCACCGTTCGAGCGATGTTAAATGAGCACATATAGTAGGGGAGCCCAAGAGGGGATTTCGGGATTTACTAAAGCGCGGCAGATTACTATATAGGGGGATACCTTGTACCCGGTTAAGTACCTCCACAAAATATGAGGCCCATATATAAGGCCGCGCGTGAAGGAGACAGGATCAGATTAGTAAAAAAAAATTGACCATCAGAAATTCCCGAGCGCGTCAGATTAAGGTAGGGTGAGTTAATTACATCCTAAAAAGTGTATATTCCACTAATCTGACAATTTGAGAGTGACGGAAAAAAAGGGGAGGGCAACAAAGTTGTAAAAAAAAACGTCATCTCGACATTCTCGAGCGTAGCTAATTTTTCTTTTATTTTGAAGGAAATAATTCCAGAATAATGAAAAATATATAATCTGACGATTTCCGCAAGCCGAAATAACAAAAATTCGTCGATAAAGTTAAATGCGTGCAGCTGCGTGATGCCTACGTTTCCTTAAACCGATCGGAATCTACTAAACGGCGTTCAAAATATTTCCCTCAAAATTACATTTCCTGTGAATTTGAACCGATTCGGACCGATAGATTTTGAGAAATTTTGAAAAATCTTAAAAAATAAGAAATATTTTTTTTTAAGTGGTTTCTTTATCGATCAACTTCAAAAACTAATCCGCCTTTGAGCTTGAAAAACCACGTCGATCGCCACCAAGCTGGTCAAAAGCGGTTGATTCGTTCGAGAGATATCGTACATGAAAGAAACCCGAAAAGTGTTTTTTCGGGATTACTCCGAAATTTGTGGTTCGATCAATTAAAATTGCAAAATTACTTATGAGAATGATAAAACTGCGTCGAATGCCGCCAACCGCGTGAAAATTGCTTGATCCATTCAAAAGTTATTGCGGTTTGAAAATTCCAAAAATAGTGTTCTATGAAACTTCTATCAGACTTTCGAGCTGGGAGAGCTCAAATGCATAGAAATGTTATTTCTTTGAACTCAGCGAGCTCAAAATATCAATTTTAAGCGCCCAGGAATGGAATTAGCGGGAAGTTGCAGGGATGGCCCTTTAGGTGAACCGTTTTTCTATTTTTTTTTGTCAGATCAGGCGAATCCCTCTAGATAATCGTCAGATTATGAGACAGTACGTTTAGAACATAAAGATGAACCACATATATCTTAATCTGACGCGCTTGAGTATTTCAAAATTGCGATTTTTTTTTGCAAATTAAGAAAATGGCTGTGGGTTTGCGTCCCATCGAAATCGTCAGATTAGTGAATGAGAGATTTTTTTTGGTGCACTTAACACTCCCTTAGAAAATCTGACGCGCTCGATAAATTTTTTTTTTTAATTTTCAACCCTTAAATACAACCACCCGCATCATGCAAACGATCAGATTAACATACGTACATTATTAAAAATACGTAGGGCATAGATGCTATCAATATCTGACGCGCTCGAGGATGTCCATGCAACAGTTTTTTTACATATTTAACTATCTATAGCCGCTTCCCCCACCGATGAAAAGGAATTTATCATATAACATTTTTTTCTTCTTTTTATCTAAGCTTTGTATCCCAATAGGTCTCTACGACGCTCGAGTAAATCCCCATTTAGCATCGTGGGCTCCCCTACCAATAGAAAGTCACATTGCACGCATTGCACATTGTTGCACAGCCGGGGGATCGAACCTACGACCCCAGGGATGAAAGTCACACGCTGAAGCCACCAGGCCAAGACTGCACAATATTTCGGTATACTTGCTGAAAATATTTTAAAAATTCAGTTACATATTTTATCGAAACGAAAAATTTACTTTAAGACATTTCTACTGCAAAGACAGAAACAGTTTTAGTTATTTCTGTTATTTAATTAATATTTTTAATAATTTTTTCACATCTGGGACTACATTACAGATAATCTGTATAGATGGAAATGGAAACTTTCATATATTCGAATTGAATAGAATATTTCATATTTTGTGCAGTTACAATATTGAATTGCTAAATAAATTAAAGAACGTAGGTTTTTCGTTTTACATTATTATTATACCTAGCTCATTTTGTTTTACATGCATTCCGTCAATTGCCACGTCTTTCCAAAATTCCCTTCAGACCTCTTTAGAGTTGCTAGTATCTACTAGATTAGTACATATATACGAGTAGGTATCTATCTCCATTTCTTATTGGGTCTTCCCAATGTTTTAATTTTTTGTAGCGTTCTGTACAGTCTTTCGCCAGCCTATTGCCATTTTAAATATCTTCTTTCGATTTAAGTTTAGATTTTTCCTAACATTTCCGTTTTCTATTGAATTCAATAATTCTCCTTATCCTTATCCTACTGGTCCTTTACGAAAAGAGCGTACCAAATCTTAAAAGGCCGGCAACGCACTTGCAAACACTCTGGTAATGTGGGTGTCTATGTCTTTCACTTAACATCAGATGAGCCTCCTACCCGTTTGCGTCTGTTATATCTATAAAAAAATTACAGAGAAATGTAGGTATAATATCGAATGGAAGGCAACTTGCAGCATTTCAGACTATTCAATTATTCAGCGAGTGATATATACCTGTAAAAATTCAAATGTATCGAGAAATAATAAATATCTGTTAATCTCTTACGACGGTGCTAAAACGCAGTGTAAGGTCGCGTGATCACGCACCGGTGTGATTGTTCACACGTATTTATCTCCTCTCTCACGCAATCATCCCTCTCATAAATTAATTTTATTATCCGATTTCCCTTACAACAGTTAATCAATTACTGAAGTGAGTGGGAATTATGAGAGTGGATAAAACGAGGTAGGTATAGGGTCGTAGCAAATGTTTATACTCTTTGAGAAAAAGCTGAAAAAGGAAAGTTAAAAGTCCGTGTTTTTCAGAATACATACGTTTATGGAATATTATTTTATAGTTGTCAAATGTACAAAGATTTAACATATAGGTAGCGATAGGTATGTAGGTATATAAGGTAAATCAAGTAATTTTTTTCCTCTACACGACATGAATGAAACTCTAAAATTTAGTGGAATCTTGCCAAAAGCGTTTAGCACTTGTGGCTATGACTTGATGGCATTTAGTTAATAAATTCGATTCAATCATTTACTTATTAAATTGTTTGAACACCCATAATCAGATAGTTTTGCATCAGTTTTATTAAAATTATAATACATGTTCGCCTCCTCTAGATGTTTAATATAATTCTAACTAGAATCTTCTACCTATACGACGCTTTACGCAACAAAAAACGGTACATATATTATATTATATACCATGGAATGCATAACCAAAATCTTTCCTTAATACGTCATACAATACATCGACTCATCTATACTTAAACTTTTGGTTTAGCTTCTGTATTGATGAATGTACTAGTAGCTTTAATACTAGTAAAATCTCAACCTAAAGTAAATATATATAGTGTTAAGACCCTAAACTATGAAAAAATAATCTGTTTAAATGAATAGTAGAATTGTGTACGAAAGCTGTCTTTATTGGACACGCTGAATCACTTCCTGTCCTCTGGGTGGGCTAGTCTAAATAGAAAAATGTCAAAAAAGGCATTAAGTACTGTCATTTTATTTTTTGGCTACTTTTGTAACAACGGTTATCACATTGTGAAATGATTTCTTTTTATTTATTTATATAACTCAATGAACGAGGTATAGGAATGTATAGTCCTGATATGAAAATGAAATGTATTTATCGTCTTTTTATACGCACAATACATATTTTAAATTCTTGCAAATAGGATTTAATATGAAAAACGACATGTAAAACCTCTAACTGGTTAAGGCAATAGAGCTTACACGGTGCCGTAATTCCAGCGATGCGTCTGAGGATATTCGACGAAATGTCACCAGCCGACGGTCGGTGGTCGCGACTTCGCACCGAGGTGTCGGCAAACAGCTGCTGCAACGATAATTATTAACAAAGCTCTTGTTTGTCCCCCACCTTAACAAGCCCTACGAAGTACGAGCTAAAGAATTTAATGTTACGTGAAATTGTTACAGAATGTGTCAAATTGTTTTATTCTGACATTTTAAATTAAATAGTTTGAATATACACCTTATTAATAACTAGAGAATGAGTGTCTGTACGAGGTAAGGCTGTACATTTGTACATTTCTTCTCATATATATCGAAGTTACACCCCGAGAGTGTAACCAGCCACTCTTCTGTATTTTAAATTCATTTAATTGCATTCTGATATACGCAATTGGGTGTAATACAGTGTTAATTTTCTAATGCTATATCATTTCAGACCCCGTACAGTGTATGTAAAACGTAACCATATAAAACGGAACGTGTCGTGGAATCGTTTTATTTGTTATATACCTGGTTGTAGAATTATAAGAAGAATTAATTAAATAAAATGTCATGATTAGCTTTAACTAGTGTACTACAGTTAAAATGTTTTTTTTTTAATGGCTCTGGCACGATTTGTGCATTAGCCAGCGTCAAGTATAGGATTTTTTATAATTCGTGCAAAACAAATTTAAATTAAATTAAAACTTGCCCTCGAACCGGGAATCGAACCCGGTACCCCTCACCTAGCTGCCACTTAATAAGACCGCTAGGCTATGAGGCCCTCAAGTTAAAATGTTTGTTATTGATGTCTGAATAAATACTTATAAGTCCCAAAATTTATCCCCAGTATTAATTCCGTGACTACCTTTTCACTTGAAATTTAGATCAGTAGGTACGTTATAGATACGAGAAATGTTCCTGTAATTTGTGAACTACATACGCAAATAGTTATCAGTCTGTTAGCGAGGCCATCACACACCATACACTCGACACAAAGCCGTGTTGACACACGAGATGTCAAACTGCGCAGGCGCAGAGCAAACAAACTGATTGTGTTTATAGCCACTTAACGAGAAGCTGCGACAATTCCGATTAGTGTTCGAAAAAATTGTCCCGTGTTTGTCTTAAGTGAGAGCAGCTACTTTGTAAATGAGGACGTATTTTATTTAATCTGTATACAACACTTGTTGAATCATATTTTATATTATTTACAGAAAATACTATGTCAATTTACTGTTCATTATGGTTGCTAGATGATAAAAACATTTAATTATTCGTTTGAAGCCCCGTCATTATCCACTTGTTATACACACTATAGGTACCTACATATCTCTGCGTCGAACCTAGGACTTCCGGTTTATACGTTATGTGAGATATCCACTGTTAGTCACTGAAGCAGATACGATTGAATAAATAAATATTATTAATTATGCCGCATACGCAAAATATTACTTGCGGCGGGCAACTGATGGCTGAAGATAGCAAAAAATTTAAAATTGTGGAATGCCTTGGAGGAGACTTTTACCCGTACCCATATAAATAAAAATTCAATATTTTATTGTATTACTTTCTGTTAATGTATTGTGTCGTATATGTGTTTGTATTTTTAATTTATCGTTATTACTTGCGGCTAACTGTGCCTGTATGACCAGTCCAGACTGTCAGACAAGTCCATCATTTAATCTATTCTGTGAATGTGATACATCCTCATCACATTTAACGGTAACCATACCATAATGATATTATATCGATAATTTGTTGTTCACAGATGACAAAGGCAATCGAAGATCGCGTCGATCGGGACCCGAAAGAAAGCCGCGTCAAGCATACAGTGCAAAACAATTGGAAAGACTGGAAGCTGAGTTTAAACTAGACAAGTATTTGAGTGTATCAAAACGTATGGAACTGTCAAAGGCACTAGATCTAACAGAGGTACAAATAAAAACGTGGTTTCAAAATCGTAGAACTAAGTGGAAAAAGCAATTAACATCTCGCTTGAAGATCGCGCAACGGCAGGGCTTGTTTCCGGGACATATCTTGGGACACACTCCACAAACATACTCCCTTTTGAGTCCTTACGTCTACCAACCACTAAGTTGTGTGTTCACACCTGTAACGCTACCATCTTCGCCTCCATAAACTATTTGTATATCATTTATATTATTGTATCAAGCAAAGGTGATATATGTCATTGTAATAGTATCGAATAAAATAAGTAGGTAATGTGGAAAAAAGTACCAATTGTACTTTCGGTCGGACATCTGCGCTTACAATTCACTGCGATGACGTCATAACCTTACACACCCTAATGAAGTTATTCTCACTGCTAAGGATATATAGTGCATAGTGCCTCTCAACCATAGCCACTGGAGTCTTCGGGCTGGCCACTCGGTGGTTAGATTGGTCGAGGATGGAGGAATAGTTCACCATCCTTCCATGAAACAATATTTGAAATCACTACTGGCACCAATGGTACTACAGACTAATCTAGACTTTTGTTAACATTATATTTAGGTATGTTTAGAGATGGGGCTAAAAATTGAGTAACTTTTAATCGACAAACTATAGCTGTGCCTTTTCACAGACTAGTGTTTTTTACCAGTGTGTACTGTGTACGCCTGATAAAAACAGCGCTTGCTTACTATACATATACAAGAAGTGTTGAATTAAAAGTGATAATGAGTAAGATGCGATTATCTTTTACTAAAGGTTATTTTATATTCCGACGTAGTTCACGTTTCAGGTATATACACCTAGTATATATTTTTTCTAACAAATAGTACAAAGGCGACCACTGCATTATCATCTTCAAATTTATAGCCCCTACATTGTTTCTTGAACCGCTGAAGAAACCACTAGGATGTAGGATGTTCCATCAATTTGAAGCCAGCGTCTTGAATAGCAGCCACCGCAACCCTGGACTTGTGCGCGGGGGCGTTATCTTAGTGAAACAAAAGAACTTTAGCGAGTTTGCTACGCGCGCACTTCATAATTTCATCTTTTGTTTCACACTCACTCTTCAAAAATCGACACCAAACACAATATAATAACAATAAGATATAGGTGCACATGTTTCTTCTTCTGGTGCCTCTTCATTACTACTGACCATCAGTCTCGCGAAGCATGTCAAGTCTTGTGCTTGATGCGACGAGCCCTCTGCAATCCTGATGCTCAACTGCTCCCTAGCTTTTTCCCTCTACCAACGGTCTTTTATCTGGATCTTACCCACCACAATGAGTTGAAGCTGCTAGCGGCGCAATACGCAACATTCCGTTGAAAAGTTTAACGAAATTTTAAAACCGAATAACTTATATTTATACGTATGTACAGTAGTGCTAAGTTTATTTATTAATATGAAAAGAATGTATTTTCGTATAATATAGCTCTTCCTATTACATTTTAAAACTATGCCATATTAAAATTTAGAAATAAGCGTATAATATAATTATATTATACCTAATTAAGTAATGTTTATAGAAATAATAATTGATGTAGAATGTACATATGATAAGTATAGATAATAAAATGAATATACTGAAACGTTTTTGTTTTTTTATGTCCAACCTTTAAATACATTATATTAAATTACTCATTAGCTAAACTATTTGTATATCATTTATATTATTGTATCAAGCAAAGGTGATATATGTCATTGTAATAGTATCGAATAAAATAAGTAGGTAATGTGGAAAAAAGTACCAATTGTACTTTCGGTCGGACATCTGCGCTTACAATTCACTGCGATGACGTCATAACCTTACACACCCTAATGAAGTTATTCTCACTGCTAAGGATATATAGTGCATAGTGCCTCTCAACCATAGCCACTGGAGTCTTCGGGCTGGCCACTCGGTGGTTAGATTGGTCGAGGATGGAGGAATAGTTCACCATCCTTCCATGAAACAATATTTGAAATCACTACTGGCACCAATGGTACTACAGACTAATCTAGACTTTTGTTAACATTATATTTAGGTATGTTTAGAGATGGGGCTAAAAATTGAGTAACTTTTAATCGACAAACTATAGATGTGCCTTTTCACAGACTAGTGTTTTTTACCAGTGTGTACTGTGTACGCCTGATAAAAACAGCGCTTGCTTACTATACATATACAAGAAGTGTTGAATTAAAAGTGATAATGAGTAAGATGCGATTATCTTTTACTAAAGGTTATTTTATATTCCGACGTAGTTCACGTTTCAGGTATATACACCTAGTATATATTTTTTCTAACAAATAGTACAAAGGCGACCACTGCGTTATCATCTTCAAATTTATAGCCCCTAAATTGTTTCTTGAACCGCTGAAGAAACCACTAGGATGTAGGATGTTCCATCAATTTGAAGCCAGCGTCTTGAATAGCAGCCACCGCAACCCTGGACTTGTGCGCGGGGGCGTTATCTTAGTGAAACAAAAGAACTTTAGCGAGTTTGCTACGCGCGCACTTCATAATTTCATCTTTTGTTTCACACTCACTCTTCAAAAATCGACACCAAACACAATATAATAACAATAAGATATAGGTGCACATGTTTCTTCTTCTGGTGCCTCTTCATTACTACTGACCATCAGTCTCGCGAAGCATGTCAAGTCTTGTGCTTGATGCGACGAGCCCTCTGCAATCCTGATGCTCAACTGCTCCCTAGCTTTTTCCCTCTACCAACGGTCTTTTATCTGGATCTTACCCACCACAATGAGTTGAAGCTGCTAGCGGCGCAATACGCAACATTCCGTTGAAAAGTTTAACGAAATTTTAAAACCGAATAACTTATATTTATACGTATGTACAGTAGTGCTAAGTTTATTTATTAATATGAAAATAATGTATTTTCGTATAATATAGCTCTTCCTATTACATTTTAAAACTATGCCATATTAAAATTTAGAAATAAGCGTATAATATAATTATATTATACCTAATTAAGTAATGTTTATAGAAATAATAATTGATGTAGAATGTACATATGATAAGTATAGATAATAAAATGAATATACTGAAACGTTTTTGTTTTTTTATGTCCAACCTTTAAATACATTATATTAAATTACTCATTAGTTACTTTAATCAGAAAGTAGAAATCAACCAAATCGTAAAGAAACTATAAAGTTTAACTAATTAAATAATATATTATTTATATTTTAATCAAAAACAATAAATCAGTTTAATTTCACCGTCCTTATCTTTACCTTTTCATCACAAAGTAAATAAAATTTGAAAGAACGAGACGGCTGATTTAGTTCTGAATAATTATTATCTAAATATATACACGCTCAATGTCAAAACTCAATCAATGTTATAAAGCACTGATTGAATATAGTCTTTTGTCTCTTTCGTCGAATTGTATTCATGCTGTGATGAAAAGCGATAGATCAGTGCTTTTGTGAAAAGGTGCAATTCACGGAATCGCTTTTTATGAATAAGGGGGTTAACTATTATCGTACCGTCTAATATATTGTGATAGAACCGACCCTGATTAGGTAAGATTGTTGCATGATTTGTCTCAGTTAAGAGAATACTTTTGTAAAAAGATTCATATAATATGTATTAATCGTAAACGGCTTAGCTAATATGAGTATAGAGGTAAATGTTTACAGAAGACTAGCTTATTTGTAGAAATAATAATTGATGTAGAATGTACATATGATAAGTATAGATAATAAAATGAATATACTGAAACGTTTTTGTTTTTTTATGTCCAACCTTTAAATACATTATATTAAATTACTCATTAGTTACTACTTTAATCAGAAAGTAGAAATCAACCAAATCGTAAAGAAACTATAAAGTTTAACTAATTAAATAATATATTATTTATATTTTAATCAAAAACAATAAATCAGTTTAATTTCACCGTCCTTATCTTTACCTTTTCATCACAAAGTAAATAAAATTTGAAAGAACGAGACGGCTGATTTAGTTCTGAATAATTATTATCTAAATATATATATACACGCTCCGCACCTAGGAGTTGCAGCAATAGTGATTTAGATTATTTTCAGCCATTTTAAAATCATTCATATCAAATTTATATGGACATTATAAACAAAGAGAGACTGATCATTAAAAAATGATCAGAATAAACAAGTACCAGTATCTAGAAATAATAATGTAATTTATTGATTACACATATCTTTCGGATACATTTTATTGCAGTCGGCATTACCAAGACCTAGGGTAGCTGCGCGCAATGCTCCCAAAGTCACGCCACGGGTCCAAGCAATCCCAGCACTGGAATTTACAACATGATAGTATTAATATAAAAATATATTAATGACAGAAATATACCAAATTGTGACATAGTGACAAAATCTATCTAACGCTATTTATTACCCACACTAGGTAGTGGGTAGTTACCCAACAAGGTCTCACCAACCACCAGGGTAACCGTGGTACATGGTGCATATTATTTAGAACATTATTTAAATCAAAAATGTTACTATTATAATGAGTTTTTAATTGGATAACATATTTAATCTTCACTATTAAGCTTCCTTAACCAGAAAGATCTATAGAAATACAGAATTATTTTTAGATTCCAATCTATTGATTTGAGAAAAGTAAATGTTAATGTTATATAGATTGAATAAATGATATTTTGATTTTGAACAATGGTAAAATTCAACATAAAGACTTGGCGCTTTGATTCTCATATATAAAACATATTTTAGATTTCACAAACTGGAGTCAAACTTATAGTTAAGTCTCGGCTCTAAATCATAAGATTAATGCACGATTCTGAGTCGGTAAGTCGTTCCGTTAGAGTCCAAAACGCCATAACCAAAAAAAATTCAGTCGAACGAAACTCACTGAATCAAAGGTAGCCAATATCTTTCCTTATCTCGCAGAGTCCTCATATGTTTATTTCCCAAACACAGTGTCCTGTAAAGGCATATATTTGGTTGCGGTTTCAATGCCATAAGAGCGTACCGTGAAATACTATTTAATGATTTCAATTGTCGCGGTTGTGTTTCACGTTTGAAGCGAAATACATCATCTACGTTGATATTATCTGTGTTGTCCATCATTTGCATCACTTGGGGTTGTTGCTCGGTCTGAAAACGTAAAGAGTATAAAATCTGTATATTGCCGATTCAAATTGGCAATAATACGTACATAAAGTATAATAATAAATGTCAA